TCCAAGAAGCTTTTATATGTACATTTTTTATATAAGCAAACATATATATATATATATATATATATATATATATATATATATATATATATATATATATATACATAATATATATATACATACACACACACACACACACACACACACACACACACACACACACACACACCACACACACACACATTATATATATATATATATATATATATAATATATATATATATATATATATATATAGATATATATATATATATATATATATATATATATATATATATATTATATGTGTGTGTGTGTGTGTGTGTGTGTGTGTAGCAGGCACTTCCTGTTTTTATGGACGAACAATCCTGCCGTTCGATCGGTTTCATTCATTCACTTCTGTAAAATATATTAAAACACAAATACACAAACACACACATACACACATACACACATATATATATATATATATAATATATATATATATATATATATATATATATATATATATATATATATATATATATATATATATATATATAGCCAGTTTATATAAACATCTAACAAATCGACATTAATTCCAAGTAGGCAAATAGACGAAAGAGCCTGAGAACGCGAGGGTTAAAAAATGCATGAAAAAGGCACACGCAGAGCTCATGTTACAAACTGGATTTTGCTTGCTGCCAGAGGAGTAATTCGGCCTCCTGTCTCCTTCCTCCTGTCTCAGTGGGTTCCGAGACTCGACCAGAAGCTCCGGTCCGGCTTCGAAGCACCGATCGTAAGTGTGAATCTGTGTTGTTGGTTTTGTCAGATTGTCATTATTGTGTGCAGGTGTGTGTTTGTGTGTGGGAGAGGTGTTGGCGTGTTTGGGTGAGAGAGAGAGATGTGGGTGTGGGTGCCAATATGCGTGTGTTTGCTTTTGTGTATATTTGTATGTGTGTTTTTAGAGAGAGATGGAGCAATGTAAATTTGTATGTGTGTGTTTTAGGAAGAGCGAGAGAGGGAACAATGTAATCATGTGTAAGTGTATGTGCTTGTGAGTGTGCGTATTTAGGGTAAGTCTTACTAAATGGTCCACGTTCGCGGTACTGATCATAACTTACTGATTGTAAATTAATAGTCACATTCGGACATGCATATACACAAAAATAAATGCATATCTGTAAATCTGGTAGACATAGATTTATCTCTTCTGTCTGCTAGAGATGCACACTTAGACTGATAGAAGCATATAATTTCTGTTTATAGGCATGTCCATATAAGGAATATTTATTGGGCGGGGCTTCGCATAATTTCAATAAGCTAGCCGTTGGTCAACAATAAGCTGGCCGTTAGTCAACACTCATTTCCTTAACAAGCATACACATATAACCATACTCATAGGCGATGAGTAGGCGGCTGCGACCTCATTGCCAGACCTTGCCCACACCCTCGCATACTCACGCGGACGGAAGCACACGTGTATACAATTACGGTTTCGATTTTCAAGATCAACAGTGCTAGATCTGTCATGTTACACTGATAAGTATGTACGATATGGTGTTTCTGATGAGAGCCGTTTCTTTCGTTTTCCTTTTTTTCATTTAATTATTTTATTTATTTATATTTTATTTATTTTATTTATGATTTTTTTTTGAACGCTAGACTCCATCTTGCCAGAACATACCGGAGATTTTCTAGACAAGTCACCCTTAGCTACTTACATCAAACTGACAATGGGGAGATGCAAATTACCACAATGTACCCTGTGTTCCCTTGTCTGACCCTGGCACGACGGCGCGGTGCACACACACACACACACACACACACACACACACACACCACACACACACACACACACACACACACACACACACACACACACACACACACGGTCCACGTCAAGACAGGGAAAGTATGGTGGTATGTTACTTAACCATGTGGATACTGATGGACACGGATTTTATCGAATGGAATCGAGAAATGAAAATGTAAAAGGGTAGATAACACGGACCAGAAGAGGAAGGCATCGAGAATCCCTCGCTCGTTCACATCCACGACATGGATGACGTCACCAGCGTTCAAAATAATAATGTCACTCGTAATCTGCCAGTTTCGCCCTTTTCGGTAAAAGGCGAGGGATTCGAGGCCGATTTTTTGTTTAGGATCAGATTCTCTCTTACGGGGCCACTGCAAGCCAAGACAAAAGCAAGTGAAAACCCACGGGAAGAGACGGGAAAGCATGTTTGAGGAAAATGACCTCAAAGGCAAGGCGCAGCAGGATGTTTTTTAGTATTTATCGTCCACGCGCCTTAATCCCTCAGTAATAAAATAGAGATACATAACGTTACAGAGGGAAAAAATGGTGCTGATATTGTATTATCTAAAAAAAAACATGGTTACAAAAGAGAACACAAAAGGCTATATTTTACAACGAAACGAGAGCGAAGGCGGGACTGTTATTTATACCAAAGGCACGGGCGTCGAGGCCCCTCCGGTGTCGATGGCTCGGCCTCAGCGGCATGCACAGTGAACACGACTGATACCAACACACACACATATAAACACACACATACAACTAATACACGAAACGTCCACAACCAGGAAGACACACATACTCTCACACAGACACATTCACAACTAATACCGGAACGCCCACAACCAGAAACACACACACACATGCATATGTGTGTGTGCGTGTGTATTTATGTATATATATATATATATATATATATATATATATATCAACTTTATTTATTCATCATATCAATGCGGTAGATTCACGTCATATTCACTTTATTGTGTATATTGATGAGGCGGATCCATTTATATCGGAGGAGCCTCTTGGCTTATGGGATATCCTGAGGGAAAGCGAGGCAGTGCATCTTCTTGGCCACGCCCTGAGGCACTCGGCGACGACCTCTGCGTGTAGGAGTTCCGACAAGGCAACTGGACTCCCTGGCCCGAGCTACGTGCGGACTCCAGTCAGGTGCCGGGGAAGCGTCACACTTGAACTCGGTCGCTTCAGTAACATCCCTCTCGTGATCCATACGTGTCCGCCGAGTCCTTCAGAGGATCGGCCAAGTCTTCCAAATCGAGGTCCACGGCTCGTGTTCGAGATGGAACCTCCCCTTCGAGTCGCCGGGAGGTTAACCCACGCGCCAGAATCTGCCGTCTTAGTGAATTTTTTGGACCAGCCTGAAAAGACACGACGCGCCCAAGGTCCATAGACGCAACGCAAGAACTCTAACCCCACATGCTTCAGAAACTGTTTGCTTCAGAAGCGCTTGCTCGGTTCAAGTGACTTCAACATCGTGTCGGTCGGAGACCATACTGAAGGCGTTTTCGGAAGTGGCGGCGCGAAGACCAGTGCCATCGATAAGCACCTCAACCGATGCAGATGTTCGGCACATCTATTCATAGAAACATGTTTATCGTTAACTCTAAAATTAAACTGGGTGTATGCACGAGTGTACGAGCGAAGGGTGCTTGAACTGTCCTCCCGTTGGATAAACCCAGCGAGGAGGAAGGGCCAAATTGCTCCCTGACAAGACGTCTCTCCGCGCGGGGTATGTGTGCGTGTGTATCTGTGGGAGTTTGTTTATTCTAGTGTGTTGTATGGCTTATTTCTGGTCTTTGGAATAATACTGCCATAAAAAGGCAAAACACATCATAAGTAGTTCGCTGTTTTGTTAGTATCAATGACAAACCTTTTAGTAAGACTTATCACATTTTTCTTCATGAAATCCCATTTACTTCTGTCAGCTCTATTCCACATGCCCTTCTGGCACTTAAGATAAGTACCATGATAAAGAATACTATCTCTCTCTCTCTCTCTCTCTCTCTCTCTCTCTCTCTCTCTCTCTCTCTCTCTCTCTCTCTCTCTCTCTCTCTCTCTCTCTCTCTCTCTCTCTCTCACTCTCTCACTCTCTCACTCTCTCTCTCTCTCTCTCACTCTCTCTCTCTCTTTCGCTCTCTCTCTCCTCTCATCTCCTCTCCTTTCTTTCCTGCTCTCTCTCTCTCTCTCTCTCTCTCTCTCTCTCTCTCTCTCTCTCTCTCTCTCTCTCTCTCTCTCTCTCTCTCTCTCTCTTCTCTCTCTCTCTCTCTCTCTCTCTCCTCTCTCTCCTCTCTCTCACTCTCTCTCTCCTCTCTCTCTCTCTCTCTCGCTCGCTCGCTCGCTCGCTCTACTCTCCTTTCTCTCCTCACCTCTCCTCTCTCTCTCTCTCTCTCTCTCTCTCTCTCTCTCTCTCTCTCTCTCTCTCTCTCCTCTCTCTCTCTCTCTCTCTCTCTCTCTCTCTCTCTCTCTCTCTCTCTCTCTCTCTCTCACTCTCTCTTTCTGTGTGTATGCATGTGTTCATGTATGTGTGTATGAATGATATGTTAGATATGTTTATACATCTGACCATTCATCTATATCTATTTATCTATCTGTGTATATGTTATCACACATACATGTTTGTCACGTAATTTATTCCCAATGTATTTTGTCGCCTTTCCAAATATGTTGATTGTTTTTTTTTCTATTATGTTTAATCCGTTTTCTATTCATTTCCCTTTTCTTGCTCTTATTCTTTTTCTTTTGAGTGTTTGTATTCACTTTTATTATTCTCCAGTTATTTATTTGATTTTATTTCACTTCGCTCTCTCTATTTTCGTCTCCTCCCCTCTTTCTCTACTTACATATTCACATATCTGTCTTCATTCCTCTCTCTCTCTCTCTTCCACTCATTGCCTCCGCCCCCCCCCCTCCTTCCCCTTTCCTCCCTTTCCCCTCGCTCTCCTCCTTCCTCTAACCCCCTTACTTTTTCCTCTCCTTTACTCCCCCCCCCTTCCACCGTTTCTCCCTCCCACTCCCTCCTTCCACCCTTTCTCCTCCCTCCCCCTTCCACTCTTTCTCCCTCCCTCCCCTTCTACCCTTTCTCCCTCCCTCCCACTCCCAACTTCCTTCCCTCCCTCCCTTTCCACCCTTTCTCCCTCCCTCCCACTCCCATCCTTCTCCCTCCCTCCATTCCTGGCAATCGTGGGGGTCTCCTGGCAGGCGGTTCGGGGAGGGGAGCACCCAGCTGTTTCAGCAGACGACGCAACCTGCAACACACACACACGCACGCCACAATGCCCGTCCTGGGACCTTTATACAGTGTGTGTTTCGCCCGGGTGAGGCTAAGGTCGCACATTAAGGTCAAGAAGCTCATAGGAATGTGCAGTAGCCAGAGGAGGAGATATAGTCAAGAACACCTCCAGAAATGTTACGAAGACCACCGAGCGCTGTGGGAGAGTGAGTGTTGTGAGTTGATCGAGATGCACGTCTGTCTTCTGTTCATTTTTGTGTAGCTTTGGCGATGAATTTCTTATTTTATTTTATTTTACAGGTTGGGAGGGGACTGCAGGGCTATATTTATATATACTATGTACTTATTTTATCTTATCTCGGTAGGGGCCTGTTTACAAGACTTGGGTGCTGTTGGGTGCTCGAGATGGGTTACATAAATCTCATATATTTGGTGGGTTTTCAAAAGTGTTGGTAGTTTGATATCGATAAATCTTTAACATTGACAATAAAGAGAAGGAAGGAATTTGTTAAGAACACTTGACAATCGACTGGAAAGAAGATAAGTTGGGTACTAATGTTGATTATGGATTGTATTATTTTATTATTATTATTATTATTATTATCATTATTGTTAGCAGTAGTCATATTATTAATATTATTATTATTGTTATTATTATCATTGTTATTATTTTTATTATTATTTTTGTTATTGTTATGGTAATTAAAGGTAATATCTTCGCTGATCTTTACTGTAATATTACCAACCTTCATTCCTGTCATTTGAACTTTTCTTTCTCAGTTGACATTTATAGTATACATTTGACGTGACAAAGACCCTGTTTAAGATCTTCATTTGAATATTACATCATGTACAAATATATAGCACTGATGCAGATACAATTACATAAATAAATGAAATTATCCGCAAGCAAATGCACACTCATGAATTTATAGATACATGTACACATACATGAATGCTTACATGTACACATACATGAATGCTTACATGTACACATACATGAATGCTTACATGTACACATACATGAATGCTTACATGTAAATGTGCTCATGAAAATGCACACACTTGAATATGTAAAAGCACACACACACACACATATATATACACACACACACACACACACACACACACACACACACACACACACACACACACACACACACAACACACACACACACACACACACACACACGCACACACACACACACCACTCAACATACACATGCCAAACAAAAACACACATGCCTACACAGACATACACACTATCGTCACATCAACGCTTCACAAAGATTGGATTTAAATTAAACTTCTGTAATTCTGATTTAGTTAGAAAGTCAATTTTTTCTTGGTTTAATAGCTAATTAATACCCAACTTTTAAAGATAAGTTGTCAAAGTATAATAATTTCTTTCTACTTTTATATTTTTTATGCTATTCTCATTTCTTGCCATCTATATTTACTTAGAAAATTAGAATTATTATTCTTTGTCATTGGGAATGACAAAATAAAGATGAAAATGAAAATATCATGTGTGTGTGTGTGTTGTGTGCTGTTGTGTTGTGGTGTGTGTGTTGGTGTGTGTGTTGTGTGTGTGTCGTGTGTGTGTGTGTGTGTGTGTGTTGTGTGTTGTTGAAATTGTTGTGTGATGTGTGTGTGTGGATTGCTGTTATATATGAAACGTTATCATATATATATAATAAATTATACTATTGTATCTGTAGTGATAGTATACGTATGATCATATACATACGATATCAAAATTCCTTATTATAATTGCAATATAGTATATATGTATGTAATATCTATTATATATATATATATACCGGCTATTTATGTTATTATACTATAATGTGTTATGTATGACTATTATACCTATGTAACTCTAGTACATTATATATGCTATATTATATGTAGTATGTATGATACTAATTTATTATGTATAGACAGTACTATATGTTATTTAAATCTATTAGTATAAATATATATACATATAATTATTATCATTACTATATATATATATATATGATATAAGTATTATGCATGTATCTAGTTATGCTTTATATGTAATCATGCGCACTATGTAGTATATATGCATACTATATAGTACTATATTATACTATATATATATATATATACTATATATTAATTATGTGTGTGTGTGATATGTGTCGTGTGTGTGTGTGGATGTGTTGTTAGTGTGGTGTGTGTGTTGTGTGTGTGGTGTAGTGTGTTGAGTGTGTGTGTGTTGTGTGGTGTGTGTATATGTATAATGTTTATATACATATATATATATTGTAACTAATACTATTATATTATATATATATATACTATAGTATATATGTGTATATATGATGCATGAATATAGTATGTATGGATATTTAATGTGTTATATATATATATGTATTATATGTATATATATATGCTATGTAGATATATATATATATATAAATATAATATATATTATATATATAATGTGTGTGTGTGTGTGTTTGTGTGTGTGTGTGTGTGTGTGTATGTGTATGTGTATGTGTTGGTATTTGTATTGTGTATGTGGTATGTGTATGTGTGTGTGTGATGTGTGTGCTGTTTGTGTGGCTGTGTGTGTGGTGTGTGGTGTGGTGATTGCTGTGTGTGTGTGTATATATAATATATATATATATATTATTTATATCATATAATATAATATACATAATACTATTATCATATAATAATCTATACTTATATATTGTATATATATAACTATACGTACTACCATATATATATATATATATGTATATTATATACTATACATAGTATATATGTATATTGTAATCTATATCATATATATATACATATATATACTATAACACTATATAATATATATATCATATATATTTATATATCTATATATATTATATATATGCTATATGTCTATATATATATAAATATATAACAGTATTATATATTATATATATATATATATATGTATATATATTATATATTAATACTAATTATAGATATATATTATATATATATATTGTCAATATGTATATGATATGTCTATATATATTATAAATATAAATATAGTATATATAGATATATATTATATATATACATATATAATATATATTAGTATATATATACTAATAAATAATGATATATATATATATAATATGTATACATCAGATCGAATATAGACATACAACATTTATAACACACATACAGTCCTATAATACATATATATGTATATTATATATATAGTAATAACATATAAGCTATAATTTAGTATAGTAACATAGTATATATACTACATACATGTCTATCTATCTGTCTATCTTTCTTTATATATATACATACTACTATACATATATTACATATATTAATACTACTATAGTATACATACACCACTAACGACCATATATAACATACATACATGCAGGTATATATATATATATATCGACTTAATAATATATATAGTCAGCGCTATAGCTATATATATATATACACACACACCATACATTTATATTATATATGTACTCTAATTATCTATCTTGTATATCATTATAGTATCTATATAATATATACATATATATACTACATCATACATTGTACACTCTATATATAATCACTACCTTATATATATATGACTACTCTACGTTAAATATCAATTATAACCTTAGATTATATATGTCAATAGACACATATATATATATACGAGATATACACATAAACATCATATCAGTTTTATACAAATACATATACAGTATACATATACATATTACATATACATATTATGTATGTACTGTACATCTCATGTTGACACATAGTATATATACAGTAGCTGGATCATAATACTAACATAATGTAGTAATATATCTAGCATTAGTACTATACATTATATACTATATACATTATAATCTATATATAGTACTTATATATTAATATATATATATATATATATACTTGTATATAGAATGAAGCAGTTCCTGACCGGATGAGAGGCAGTTTTCTCTATCATATATACTATATATATTTAATATACTATATCATATATATATATATAGATATATATATATGTATATATATACATATGTATATTTATAACATATTGTATATATATATATATACTATATATATATAATATATATATATCCGATAATATAATATATATATATATATATATATACGTATGTATTATATATACACATACATACATACCTAACCACTACAGTACATATGTAATAGATGTAATATATGCATACTATATATATATTATAGAATATATATTATTATATATTACATATATTGTATATATAGCATACATGTATGTGTGTATATATATATATATACTATATATATATATATATATGTATATATGTTACTATATATATATATATATATAGTACATTATAGTAGTAGTAGTGTATATATATATATATATATTATAGATATCATATATATATAGTATAGATTATATATCTATAATATAATATATATAATATATATACTATATATATATAATATGCATGCATGTATGTATATAGTGTTGTAATGTGTGTATGTATGTATGTATATATATATGTATAATATATATGTATATATGTCTTTATATATATTATACTATATATATATATATTTACTCTTTATATATATATTATAATATATATAATATAACATACATACATACATACATACATACATAATATATACATACCACTATATAAATATATATGATATATGTTAATATATAAATATATAAAAATATAAATGTATATATATGTATTTATATTATGTATTATTATGGATATACAAAACATAATACATACATCGTAACACACATACATACATACATATATAATATATAATAATATATATCTATGTATATATAGATTACTATATATATATATATATATCAGATTATATATTTATATACATAATATAATATATATATATAATATGTCATAATTGTGATATTGATTCAGCTATCTGTACTCTAGTCATCTATTGGCTACACTGATATATGTATGCTAGATTAATATGATTAGATCATGGTTCATACTGTTATCTATATATAATATATAGCTATATACTATATTTAGCTCTAATCATGGTGAATGGCTACCTACGTAGTAATGTCAGTAATCTAGTACTGGTAGTGTGTATAGTTATTTAGTGTGATATACTTGCTTAGTATATGTAGCCTCGTATGGTATTGGGGGACGTATACTCAATCTAATAAGTGTGCTAGGGTGAGGTGGCGAGGAGACTAATAGTTTACAACTATGTATCGATAAGCATTATTAAAGTACGTCAGTTGCATATGAATACGTTATCTTATAATAAATACTTAAGTATGTATGCTCATAGTATTGGTTCTGAAGGTGAATCATTTGAAAGATCTATCTATATGGCTATGCTGTTAGCTAGTGAGCATCCTTAAGTGATGCAGGTTTATACTGAAGTGATCTACTACTTGAGAGCTACATTGTACGCGTCAATGAGGTACTATAGACACCAGCCGACACCACGCTTCATCGTGTGTTGTGTCTCGTGTGTGTCCTGTGTCGCCTGTGTGTGGTGTTTGTGTGTGTGTGATGTGTGTGCTTGGTGTATGTGGTGTGCTATCATGTGTGCCTGTCTGTTTAGATATTTTGCTATTCAACAGCTAGAAGCTAATCTGCAGAATGACATAAGCAATGTCAAATAAACAATAAAAATCATTATGAAAGTTTATGAATGTTATTTGCAAAGTCTCTCTTTTATTATACTCTCATATTTACTATGCTGCAAAGAAATAAAAACTATGTTCATGATTTGCAATAAAAAAAAAAAAAGATTAAGAAAACATTTGAAGCATTTAGATGGGTTCATTGTCAAAGATGATCAACACTGCAGGTTCCTATCTGTGCAGTGCCAGGGGTGAGGCCGTGCTGCCAAGGCATATCAGATTATTAATGATGCTCAGTAAAATCAGTGCATTCATTTATTGCTAGCATCTCGGAAAGTCATATCTCAGTTTGATATGAGCACAAGTGTCAAATAGTATACATTCTTTATATAGGTGTAAGCACATACATACACATATATGCACCTGCACACACACACACCACTCCAGGTACCCAGACACCTGCCTACCAACACACCCACCCATACCCCTACACACACATGTGCACCCAAAATCACAAACTCAAACACTCACACCCACATTCAAACCTACATGCACACACACACACACACACACACACACACACACACACACACACACACACACACACACACACACACACACACACACACACACACACACACACACACACACACACACACACACACATTTTTCTTTTTTCTTTTTATCCCCATATCATTCCGGGATCAGTTCATGTCTACGGCAGTTTAGAAAATAAGTTTACAAAATAACAAGAATAATGAATCAGATTATATCACAGTGTTAGCTCACTAGATAAGGTAGATGAAAATAAAATTACAAAATTAGGTCACTGTGATCATAATAACATGCTGCAGCCCTGTCATGAGGAAAGATGATGGGCAGATCAAAAACGTTCGTCTTTTGTCCTCTGTCATCTCCAAGGTTGCAGCGGAAGGTGGAGTGGAGAACGCCTACCCCCATATTTACGCTACCTAAAATAGATGGATGGGGGGGGGGAGGAGGGCAAATTTTTGTGGTCTCTGTGCCAAGCATCTTCGTCAAGTGTGAGGGAAGGCAGTGCTTTACGGGAGGCACAAGTCGAGACGGAAAGCCTGCAGATGGATGGAGTCGGGGTGTTTAGGTAACGAGAGAATTGGAAGATGTTTATTTGTATTAAGCTGTTTCTTTAGTCTTCTCTCATTCTCTATTTCCTGTTCCTCCATCATTATCTCTCTTTCTCTTTGTTTTCTCTTCTTCTCTCTCTTTCTCTCTCACGGCTCGCTCTTTCATCCTCTCTCACTCTCACTCCCATATTCACTCACTCTCACAGCCTCATTCTCTCTCACTCTCCCTCCCTCATTTTCTCTCTCTCTCACTCCCTCATTTTCTCTCACTCTCACTCTCTCATTCTCTCTCTCACTCTCTCTCTGTCTCTCTCCATCTCTCTCTCTGTCTCTGTTTCTCTCTCTCTCTCTCTCTCTCTCTCTCTCTCTCTCTCTCTCTCTATCTTCTCTCTCTCTCTCTCTCTCTCTCTCTCTCTCTCTCTCTCTCTCTCTCTCTCTCTCTCTCTCCTCTCTCTCTCTCTCTCTCTCTCTCTCTCTCTCTCTCTCTCTCTCTCTCTCTCTCTCTCTCTCTCTCTCTCTCTCTCTCTCCTTCTCTCTCTCTCTCTCTCTCTCTCTCTCTCTCTCTCTCTCTCTCTCTCTCTTCTCTCTCTCTCTCTCTCTCTCTCTCTCTCTCTCTCTCTCTCTCTCTCTCTCTCTCTCTCTCTCTATGTCACTTTTCTCTCTCTCTCTCCTCTCTCTCTCTCTCTCTCTCTCTCTCTCTCTCTCTCTCTCTCTCTCTCTCTCTCTCTCTCTCTCTCTCTCTCTCTCTCTCTCTCTCTCTCTCTCTCTCTCCTCTCTCTCTCTCTCTCTCTCTCTCTCTCTCTCTCTCTCTCTCTCTCTCTCTCTCTCTCTCTCTCTCTCTCTCTCTCTCTCTCTCTCTCTCTCTCTCTCTCTCTCTCTCTCTCTCTCTCTCTAATTTTTCCATAATATTACTTGTATTACTGATTAGTTTTTTTTTTTTTTTTTTTTTTAATAGATTGTCCTGTTTTGTTGTTTGATTATGCATCTCGATCAAGGTAAACTACAGTATCTGTTTTGTGTCGCTTGTTAAGTACGTAAAGCATGTTCTTTGTTCGGTTTATGTCTTAACTAAATTAATTTTTCCATTTGCTTCTTGATATGTACTTAACATTCTGTATGAAGAGGCAGACTTAAATTTGTAGCTGTGAACAGTTCCTGTAATGTGTGTTGGTAGATTGTGTATGACCTTAGTTGATTTCTTTTTCCTATGGGTGTGAGATCTAAAGTAGCTGTTATTTTGTACTTTATAATAATAATCTTTCATCATAATAAATATTGTTATTATTTTCATGAAAATATGGAGATGTGAATGATATATATGTATATATTTTTTCTTGGACTTGTTCTGTCTCATCACCTTTACCTTGAATAATATAAGGTTGTGTTTACAGGTAAGAAATTGCCAGAGAATGTCAATCCAAGATCTGTGTTTGCTTGTAACGAACTTGATCTGCGAGATGTTTCAGTGTACGGCTTTGACTATGACTATACACTGGCCAACTATGAGCCAGCTGTGGAACACTTGATATACGAACTCGGAAAGAATGTACTCGTCTCTAAGTATAGAGTAAGTATCATTAGTCAGTATTGGACCCACAGATGCATTCACCTTCTATAAATAGGTTGGTTTTGTGTGTGTGAGGTGTTGAGTTGAATTACAGAGGAAGTTGTTAGTATGGTTGCTATTTTGTTATTTGAAATCATTAATTAGTCTTAAAATTTATGAAGGTTTATTCTTCAAAATTGGTGGGGGGGAAATCATTCAATTTTAACATGGCCCTATATGGACATGTGTAATAATAGACTACTGCATTCCTCCACAGTATCCAGAGGAAATTAAATCGCTGAAATATAACAGAGAGTTTGCAGTCCGTGGCCTCCACTATGATATCGAGCACGGCCTTTTGATGAAGCTGGACCAGTTTCAGCAGATCCAGCAGGGCTCCATTTACCATGGCCTCACACCTGTCAGCCAAGAGCAGGTCCTTAAGACATATGGTGGCAGATCCCTGCCATTACATTACGTGGAGGGCCATTTGCGTGGGGTATGTTATCAAGTTTTTCTTTTTCAATCACTAGTACTTTTTATATGGATAGTGATAAATAATTGTCTTTGACTTTGCTGTATATCAGAGGCTATATAGTTACGGGATAAAGTATAGGTACTGTTTGCATAAACATGTATTTTATATGCACCCAGGCCTCGGTTTTCCAAGTTGATGTGATCCTGGACTGTGCCTTTTTGCCAGGAACTTCGGTACCAGAGGAAGATTTGATGTTGGTCACATAGGGATAGGATTTCATTCTTTGCAGTGAACATGATATAGTTAATAAAGAAAAGATTAGATGATAACTACAGATTGGCTTTTTGAACGACTTACAATATGCTGACCAAATGACATCATACATATTCTGACTGTTGCTGACCTTTTTCTCACATAGGTAGGAAAGGTTAGATATATAAAAAGATAAATAGATATAGGTATCAGATATATAACAAAAAATAACTTACATGGGAGGGTGAGAAAGAGAAAATCAGGCAGACCCAAATATAAGACTCATGGCATATGTATCTGTACATGTATCAGTCAAAAAATTCAGTAGAAAGCAGTTGCTTGACACCTTTAATAAGAGAGCAAATTGAATTATGATCACAAGCACAAACACAGTGTACACAAAAATGAAAGGGAAAGCAGCCACAATATGAAATCAAATTTTTATTTCATATTGTGGCTGTTTTTTCAGGCTAGACAAGACTCATCTTCGCTTTTACCAGCTTGTGGCCTTAGTCTGGCTCAAAACTTCATGAGTTAATGTTTGATCTCATCTTTTGTAATGATGTTTTTATGCTTTTAACTGCATTTGGCAATTACTTCTTTTTTCATTTTTGTTTCTCAGGTGTCTTTCCTTCTTTCTTTCCTGCGTTTCAAGGAAAGGAAGACTTCTAAACAAATCAAGGCCTGGGTGCTTACATTTAATCTAGACATAACTTTTTGTACAAATAGATTTGCATAAGAACTCTTGTAGACTAATTTGGAACTTTATTACCAGTAGATCATTAGACTGACTGAAATTAATAAATAAGTGATTACTTGATGGTTGAATATAATTCTTTCATGTTGAACCACATTTATTCCTAAGGAATTCAAACCTTGGGAAATTTACTTGAGATGTTCCAAAATCATTATTAAATTTAAAGAAATCACAAATGGAATTTGTGTTGAAA